CCAGTAATTTGCACTTACACGCTTTGGCGTCTTTTGGCGGCTTGAGACAACATTACATGTTGTTTTGTTTTACTACATTCCCGCATGTGTTTTTTTGTGAGCTACCATTTGGCTCACTACTTTGCCCCGTCTCACCTCGTTTGCTTGATCGCACTACCAGCAATGTCTGGACCCATGGATGCGACTACGACCGCGCCTGAGACTACTGTGCCAGCACAGCAGATTGGCACTACTACACCTGACCGAGTTTCGACACCACCCAGCCAACCATCCACTACAGATTCCAGCAGCATGGGCTCTGTGGCACCTCCGCCACCTGAGGCCTACAATGCCCTCAACTACCACTTCAACCACCAACTACCGACCAATGCACCATTCTACAGGCCCGATGAAATCCTGAACCACCTCACTACTGTCGAGTACGACAGTTTCCACACTCCGCCTGTGGATCAGGGACGAAACTACGCCGAGGTCTATGTGGGGCTGACCTTGGAGGAGTATCAACTACTCAGCCAACAGCAGACCACGCCAATGCCAGACCTCGACTACCAACTGCCAATCCACAACCTGCCATCAGACCTACGAATGCCCCTCTACGATTCACTACCACTCAGCCTACGCTTTTCAGAAGCGTTCAACTTCTTTTACTACAACTTGACTTCACTACACCTCACCACATCGCACACCAACTCCATGGTCATCGTTCGACTTCATCTCCCTCAAGAAATCATGCTACACTACATCAGCAGCGGCCACCTCATCAACTTTTCTCGTGACTACTTGAGTCACATGGTGTCAATCATTGGCCAACATCACCTACCCACTCGGCAACTACCCCAACGACTTCACAGGATCAACTACGACATGAACCAGATCACCAATACCTTCAACCTGTCCAACAACTACATCTGGAACTACCACACGCCTCTTCACCTTCCTGAACTACTCAGCTACTACGACCAACCGCAACAACTACAGGATCACCGCTACAGAGCAATCAACACCATCATGCACAAGAGTTCCACGTACTACGGTTTCACACTACTCACTGCCACAAATCTTCCCACGCAACACAAACTACTACTGCACAAACTCCTCACTACATTTCAACAACCGCTTCCACCTCCAGAGATCAACTACACTTGTCTTCGAGGAGGCCCTGACTCAGCAACAAGGCTACAGAGTCCAGCATTGGACTAAGCACACCTAACTACAGGTGATGCTACATCAGTGAAGCAGCACCACAGCTTCACTACAACTTTGGACCTCCAGGTTCAAACTACATCGGGATGTATCTCATGAACTCCACTCAGTACCACTACTGAGGCCTGAGCAGGAGAGCTACTGAGATCAGCCTGTACATGCTACAGCTTTTTTTGATCTTTGAGAGTCAGTGGACTACAGCCAGCAGAGTTGTAGTTATACTACTTTCGATCCTTTTGCAGTCAAAACTACTTTGAGCCCTTTGCACTTTTTCCCCTTTCTGGATATGGTTGAAAAGACACTACAGGGTCTTTTAACCAAGGGGCCGTGTCAAATATCACGCTGTACTACTTGTCCCTTGTACATGCATGATGTACACTACTCGACCGCAGGCCTTGAGTCTACAAGCAGAAGAGTGCATGCTGGGAAACTACATTTGTGTTTGTGACAGCATAAACAACACTTGCACTTGTAGTAAAGCAACGACGTATTTTAACGAGAGAGAGAGAGAGAGTTGCTCGAAGAGTTCTGCCCGCATCAAGAACGTAAGGTGTGGTTGAGAATCTGAGAACCAATGCTTCCTTTTCCAAGCATAAAGAACAACATGATTCCCACACGAGGATTCCAAGACCGATAAGGATGAGACTAACCCGGGTGGCATTCTACCAAAAATCATTGCTCCAACAATTGCGGAAGGACAAGAGGGCCCACCCAGACCAAGACTGGCAACATCCATAGGTGTACTTCCCTGACAAAGTCATGAAGCGCTCCTACACCGACATCGACCTTACTACTTGGGAAGGACTGGCGAAGGCGTTCACATGGCCACAAGGTCAAGAAGAAGCAACCGCTTCCTCCATCCTCAAGAAGGCATCAGGAATAGCGAAGCAGCCAGCATTCGCGCTTGTGCGCGAACCGACCTTTTCTACAAGGAGGAAAGTCTAAATCAACTTACATGGGAAGAGTTTTGCACATGTTGATGACCTTCTCATGGCAAGTCGCAGCAGCTTCGGGACAGAAATCATGGCCAAGATCCGCAAGAACTTCCAAGTAGGCTCCAAAGACAGAACGGCTGTGCTTTGGTTGGTCAGAAAATCCAGCCCAAAAACGATGATAAGCACGGACATCCCAACCATGTCCCATCATGGCAACTGATGAACTTCAAGAGATCCACTTTGAAAAGCATCGCAGGATGACATTGTCCAGGCGTGCGTGCGGCATATAGAAGCGTGCTGAACCAAAAAACTTGTCTTCAATCCAGATTTCACTTTTGTACTGGCTGCCAATTTACAGGCGTGCATTCAAGGCCGCATCTCCCACCACTACGGATGTCAGGGCCATGAGTAGCAGAATTTGCGAGGCTACCAAGCAAAGCTCTGAAATGCCCTCCAGTAATCAGGCATGAGGGTTGAATCATGGCTGCATACCTTTGGACAAGGTCCACTCTGGCTGTTTCATCTCCCTCGCAAAGATGTTTGCTCTTTCAAAGAAAAGCACGACACCGGTGCGTCCAGCCTCTATGTTGTGGACGGATGTTGGTTGGATGTTTGACGCCGTCTGCTTCTTGGACGCAAAACACATTCGCTGGAATGTTTTGGATACTGCCACGAAGTACTGAATCTGTCACCCCGCTTCCTTTTCCAGAATATACAAATGTTCGCTCGTAGTTGCCAACGTTCAACGTTAGGACGTTGAGTCTCTGTGTGGATGCCTGTGTGGCAGACAAGTCATTAGCGGTTCGGATCTTCTTGGCCTTCGTGGACTGAAGAATGCGCTGGAGAACGGGAGTGTAGGCTTTCTTCTTCTAACGGATTGGACAGCCATATTCGGGTTGTCGCGTGCGTGTGCGCTTGTCTACCTTGGGCGTTGTTGCCTGAGACTGGATAATCAGCGGCTCCTTCCAGGTCGAGTCCAGTTTGCGGCGGTTCCAAAACCGTGCAGCCCGAGTTGGCGCCAGGCCGCAGGACCTTAGTGATGAGCCTAGAAAATTCCAGAGCGCTGGGCAGAAGCCTGTTTCTTTCATCCTGGCCCCAATGCGGCGCGAATAGTCTGAACACCTCATTTCTGGAGGAATCTGACAAATAATATCTCAATCGCTTCACATTGGAATTAAGTAAGGTCACTCAACACAGAACGCCTTGCCGGATTGCGCTGAGCAGCCGTTGTGGCTGTGGCCTGCGCAGCTCCGTCCGATGGGAAAATCAGTGGGGTCAGGCTCAGTGAGCTCAGGCCATGTGAAACTCAACAACACAGTGACAACACTGCCAGTGACAGTACCGCCCTTGCTCAGCTGCGCACTCGTCCTCCACTCAGAAACTGCTCCATCCCCATGGCTGTAAGCGGAAGCGTTGGTAGCGCTGTTATCGTTGCACTTGGTGTCAATGTCGAGACCGTGCTCCCGGCATTCAGGGCCATCGGTCTGGCGGTCCTGAAATCCTTTGATCGCCCGGCGCGCCTTGGTTTTGAATAAGTTTCCTTCCTTGTCTCTTTTGGTGGTCCCGGTCACCCCGTTTCTTACTTGGAGCTTCCTGGTGTCGTCTAAGTAAAGACTTCATTGCCTAAACTGGATTTGCACTCCAGATTGCAAGACGAAGAGCTCAGGCAAGGCGGATGAGTTGATCAAATCCGTCATGTCCAAATGTTGGGCGGCTAACTCAATCAAAAAGCTGGCCATAACAAGCGCGTTGTGCAGATTTAGCGGACGCTTGCAGGTTTCAAATTACCCCCCCTTAAGAACCCCATAATTCCAATCTTCTCCGTAAGATCTCAAGTTTGGAGGTAAAGATTAGAAACTTCGCGTTATGACTTCTGTGACTGAAGAAACTGAGGGGTCGAGAAAGAGAGACGTCCATCTGTGGGTCCTTTCAGGAAATAGTGTTCTTGAAGTGTTTGACCTTTTGCTCCATCTCTGACCCTTTTGTTGTTGAGTGGCTCGCGGCGCGTGCGTGCGTCGTCTGTGAGATTGCTCTTGAGGAGAGGCCCCCAAAAATTCTGGCTCCATAATGAGCTGAGCTGACTCTTCCGTCGCAGGCGGCAATTGGGCGGTCATCGATACGTTCAGTGATTTCTCCGGTAGGACAGCATGCACTTGCGTAGGCTTACAGCTTCTCCATTTTTGGGCTCTCCGCTCCGCTAATATGGCATCTTTTTGGAGGAACATTGCTTTAAGAGATCTTCTTTTGGGGTTCCATGTGACTGTTAGCTCATGTTCTGTTGGGCGCCTCGAACAATGCAATTGTGTTTTAGACTCCGCGCAGTGACTGAAAGGTGCACAGAACACAACACAAGAAATCTCGCTTGAAACGACATTCCGAAATGGCCTGCAAAGCCAGAATCCAGTTGGCCCGGAAAAGTTGGAAATTGCCTAGCCTGCAAGCAAGTGCCTAGCCTGCAAGAAAAAGTCAGGCCCGGAGGGTCGAGTTGGCACTCAAAACAAACAACTTGGCCTGACTACATGTTTGAAGCGCCCCAGTTGGCAGAGCCACTGACCTTCCGCAGCTTAAGAGGTCTAGCCAGTTTGGTACACACTGCTCATGTGTAAAACCTAATAAACAAGTCAGGCGTGTGTTCCCCCCTACCCCCTGCGCCAGAATTGTGATTGCGCAAGCGTAGTAGAAACATAACTTGTTACAGGAAACAAGGGGGTGTTCGGTCATAGGGATGGGACCAACTAGTTTGTGAAAGAAATGGTGATGTTCCACAACCATCCCCACCACTGCGCGGAGCTTGCAACCATGCCATGGCGACACTACGCCGGGCTCAACCGCCAGGGGTTGGGCGTTGCTTGTTGCCGCAAGGCGCGAGCGAGGAAGTGCTGGGCGCCACAACGGCACGGCGCCCAGGGTTGAAAAGGGGTTCTTGTTCCCCATGGTTCAAGGTTGTTGGGCGCAAAGCGACGTCTGCCCTTTTGCACCCATGCGCTGTCACAAGCCATGTCCGCAGTGTCCGACCTGAACAGTTGCGACAGAACTGACAAGCTCTGCTGACAACGCGGCCGGCCCGCGCAGTGTGACATGTCAGACCTTGAGGCTCGCGCCGCTGGCTGCGTAACTGACTCACCACGGCCAGTGGCCGGACCTGTCTTGCTCCCACACCCTCCTATCGGTGGAAAGGTCCAGGCAGGCTCGCAGCTGTTCAGTTTTGATTGTTAATGCACAGTGGTCGACCTTGGCTCTTGGTGTGGGATTGCTAGTTGGATCCGACATTCTCTGCGATTGCGGCGGCCGTATTGAAACGACGCGAGCGGCCAGCAGCCACATTTATGTTCGCTCAGTAATAGCTCAGCAGGACATGTGTATGTTGCCCATGTGCGCGTGCCTGGCTTGCACAGGCTTGACCTCCTCCCGCAAAGAAAGATTTTGGTAGGGCCCGCAGTAAGTCTGCAATGTCAGGAAGCAAGGGCTGCCAGCCCACTGTTGGTGAGGGGCGCGGAATTGACTTTATTTGTTGCCAGTTCTGGAGGACATGTAGGCGCCAAACCTCCAAACTCCTGGTCAAACACTAGAGGCTGACGCTTAGCTTTGCAGCGCATAGCGGGGGTTTGTTGGCCGATTTTCCGAGACCTTTTGCATCTCACCCAGGCCATCGTTTCCATGGGCTTGACTCATTAGGAACATTGCCAAGACTAGATTCAGAGGCCACTTCTCCACATTGGATTGTTTGTATGAACGGTGATGCGCCACAAGGTGAAAAACCTTCAGTTTCTCAGGTGGGGTACATCGACTCCATGGCGAGTGAGCCCAAGTGTGCCTGCCCAGCTGAATGTCTCAAAGCGAGAGAGAAGTATAGAATGAGGGAGAGAGAGCCATTCGCCGTCTTGGTGGAATCTAGCACTCCTCAAGTGGCGTAATGTTAGATAGCGATAAATAAAACGGGAGTGAATACAGAAAAACTCAAAATTGTTCACTCTCCCGGAAAGCAAAAAAAGGTATTACAGAAAAAAATGCCCGAAACCCAGAAACATATCCCCTTCCAAGAATTGATTATTTTTGAGGGTTCAAACGTTTGAGTCCAGCCAGAAATGTCCAGATTTTCTAGATTGCTTCCTGTCCCAAACCACCAAATTCCTTATCAATCCACTTTACTAGAAGATGCACCCTGACAAACTTTCCAGGGGTGGCACACGGAACCCCCAGGAAGGCAATAATGCAGTTTTGGTAGTGTGTTTACTCACTTCTGTTTTCCATGGCACATGCACACATGTATGTGCCATTTTGGCTCAAGTGACATCATAGCTACTTGCTCCTTGATTTTCTGCCATGGATGGATCAGCCGGATCGTATTGAATTTCTTGAGGATCCTGATTGGGAACCTCCTTTGTCTGAAGTTGGGACTGAGGACAACCACAACGATCAGCTGGACCACTTGGTGGAACAGGTTACTTTGCTTCAACAGCACGTCCTGGTTTTGGGACAAACGTTGCAATCCGACAGGGAACTTCAGGCTGGGCGTTTTGACACTCTGCGCTTGAGACTGAACGCGATTATCCATCGTATTTTGGAATTTTCGGCTGTGCTTTGCGTTGCAATTTCCTTGGGTTGCACTTCGTTGGTCTTTGCACATCATCGACTGGACCTTTAGCCACCCTGCCTGGTTTTTCGTTGCTGTGGCTACTTTTGCGGCCTGGTTATTTGGTGCACTTGAGTCTGCATTGGCATTTGCTCACCATTATGCCTTGGCGTTCACGAAGGAGTTCAACACCCATTTTACAGTCACATCCTAAGCAGGCAGCCAGAGCTGCCTTTCTGCCACACGGACGAGAATTGGCTCCTTTTCGAATTGATGGAGTGTCGGGGCCCTCACCTGTGAGGCCTTCGTGGATTCCTAGGTGCGACAATCCTGTTCCTGCGCCCGTTTGGGGCCCGACCAGCACTCGGATTTCACGGGATGCTTCTCCACTGCCAAAACCTGCTTTTCAGTCTGCGCAAATGTATTCCAGGTACCCCTCGGAGTTTCGTGCTTTTCCGCATGTGTTGCAGGATGTTCAGCAGCCAGCGGTTTTGCCCACTGCTCCTCAAGCACGGCCTGGGCCCTACACTGCGGCGCCCCCGGCGGTCAGGCCCTCGAGCAGTGCTTTGGTACGTCAAGCAGACTTGCGTGCGCTTAATGGGCCTAAGGTCAGACTCTTATGGCAGCAACTGGCATCTTTGCTTCAGCCGATTAGTACGGTCTTGGCAGATATTGAGTTCAGCCGCTACTCCACTTTCTTGGTGGACAAGCTACTGTCCTCACGCAGCGACACAACCCTGCTCAGGTACCTACACTCCCTGCTTTCTTTCTTTCATGTGCTCAGGGATTTGCAGTTGGATCTTATTTCCTTGACCTCGGCTCAGGTTATGGATGCTTTGCTTTGCATGGCCGAGGGGGACTCGGGACCCTCCAATTGCCCGATGAACACACTGAAGGCAGTGCGATGGGGTGTCAAGACGCTGGGGCTCCGTTTTCCGGATACATATTCTGGCATTTTCAGGGTTGCCACTCAGCCGCTTGATCATGAGCGGAAGGAAGCATGCCCACTGCCCCTTGCTTTCGTGGTACGCCTCGAGCAGTATGTCTTGGATCGTTCAGGTCCTGACCGGATGCGTTCCGTTGCAGGCGCTTTGCTTTTAGCAATATGGATCTCACTGAGGTACTCAGATGCACAACATGTGCAATGGCATGCCATTCTTTACACTTCTGACGTCCTTCGGGCTGTCAGCTATCGCACCAAGACCTGTCGCACCGGGGTTCCCTTTGCCGCTTTTGGTTTGGGTTTCTTTGGGGACAGTCAATGGTCTTGGATGCAGGAGTGGCTTGCTTTGCGTCAGGACTGCTCAGTGTCACTTCAGGCGCCAGGTTTTGAGCCAGACTGCATTTTCTTTGATGCAGGTGCGTCAGGCGAGGAGTTCCTGCCCCTGACATACTCTCAGGTGTTAGGATGGCTTCGCTTCTTCCTCACCTCAGCAGGCTTTGAATTATACGGTTCATTCCTGCAAGGCCACCATGCTTTCCTGGAGATCGAAACTGGGGGAAAGTGTTTACGCTGGGCGATCAAAGCTCCCAAGGTTGACCACTATGGTCGGGGCATGAAGGCCGACTACCAGAAGAACTGGGACCTCGGATTGGCCTACCAGAACGAGCTGCGCGCGTCAATGAAGAACCTGGCGTATGCAATGAGGAGGGATGAAAGCGCTCACCAGCACAACCTCTTGCGCTGGATGATTTGCGGATCAACTCCCAGCGACATCTCCGACTCATGCATCGGGGCGGTTAACTCACTCATGTGCATTTCCTTCATCATGAGGAGGTTGCAGCCATTGGTCGGGGAGAGGCACGCTTCGGATCATTCATACACAGTCTGCTTCCGTTCGGACAAGTCCGAGTTGAAGGACCTGTATCGGGAGATCGAGGGGGCAAGGAATTTCATGTGGTGTATCGGTATGATCTATAAGTCGACGCTGCCTGCAATGAACATCAACTCCATCAGCTTAGCGCCACACGCAGCCGACAGGGCTGCTGAGAATCAGGATCGGCGCAAATGGGTAAACTGGCTGAAGGAGATTGAGAAGAAGGCAGAGAAGGAGCACGTGATCGGCTTCGACCAGAATATTTACTGCACCTACAATGAGGCGGACAGGGAGCTGGAAAGGTACCCTGAGAACTTCGCAGTTGGCGAAGAACCAACATGGCGGGTGATGGGCTCATCAAAGACTGAGCCGCCGCAGAGGACGGAGCGACAGCAGAAGTCGACATCAAGCGCTGGGCAAAGAAAGCAAACCTCTGGTGGGTCAAACCCCCAGCAAGGAGCTTCAAGTGGAGGGTCGTATGCAAGCGCTGCCAACAAGGTTGACAACGAGATTATTGACTCCATCTTCCGCATGAACTCCAGCGGTGATGACAGATGGGAGATCATCAGCGCAACTGCTGGGCACGATACATACACCTCATTCGAGGGAGGTATCACCCTGGGTGGCGCATCGGTCAACGTGAAGTTCAACATAGATGCCAACACCGGGTACCCAATCATACAAACTGTATTTGGGCCATGTCTCGCAGATGGAAAGAACGCGACATACTGGGAGTGCATGCTGAGAAGCCTGACCTCATCGCTGGTACATTTTGAAGAGAAGACCAGTGCTGAAAAGATCATCCTTTCCTATGTCAGTAAAGGGAATGCAGCATGGCTTCAGCTCTCTGCATTCTTGTGTGCTCAAACAGGATGCTTGATGTCTGGCGCCTTCCGGGCGCCAAAGCCATCAACACGTTGATCCAGTTCTTCTCCGACAACAAACCTGGACAATTGATCCGGATCATCAGGGAGCAGAGGAGGGGCCCCATTGGTGGGGCAACGATACGTGACATGATGATTCAGAAGAAGAGCTTCCTGGTCCTGGATTGGCCCCTGAGGGCCGTCAATGCTAAAGGGAGCACGAAGACCTTCCAGATGATGGTCAACGAACAGGGATGGACGAACATCGAGGAGAGATCGTATTACGGGTCGAGTGAGCCAGTCTCCTCACCCACAGATACGATGAACATCATCTCCCGATTGGAACGACTGGAAAAGCTCATCGTCGAACGACGGAGGCGAGACATGGATGATTCGCCTGTGTCGGTGCACATATGGATGTCGCTCTACGACTGGGTGTGTATGAGGGGGTGCGGATGGCAAGTGACCGCCAACCCCATCATCGACTCCTTGCAAAAGACGGTGTCGGATCTCGTCAACACGTGCAAGGGCATGGTTGTGGTATGCGTGAATCGCGATGTAGCTTTCCATGGTGGAAGAGGGGACTTGGGGACGATCGCCAACCAGGTGAGCGAGATCTGCAAGGCGGCAGGCGCGTTGGTGACCGAGAACGACCGCTTGTGGCGCTTTGCCCACGCGCCTACTGGCAAGAACTACAAGATCCCCGGGAGCTCGAACCTGCAACATTTCCTCTTGAAGCGGCTGTTGGCGGAGAAATGCATTGATGTGATCGCGCCGAGCCATGCGTTTGTGTGTGAGCTGGAGGAGATATGCATAAGCGAGCCCGACCTTCGCTTCAATATCCCAAAGAACATGGAGGAGTCGAAGGTGAAATTCGAGTACAAACCGACCTTCACTGCTCAGTCAAAACGGAAGCAAGAGCGGCAAAATGAAGGTTACGGTGGACAAGATGCATTTGGGAACAGTGACGCCAACGATCAGCGTCTTCGATGGTATACGGTTTCCGAGCTCAAGGAGTTCATATGCGAACTTTGTGAGAAAGAGATGCAGAGGAACAAGTCGAAGGTGCTCGGGTCAAGTTCGACCTTCAACCCTACTTCTTGTGTGAACTGTTGCGCGAACTGGAGCGCAGACACGAACGGTGTTGTGAGATCAACCGAGGGGAGGAAACTGTACACACGACTTTTCGCGGAGTGCAAGGTCGCGATCCCGGACCTCCGACATCTCATGGTGAATGTCAACAATGTTCAGGCCATGACCACGATTATACGGGAACTGGCGCATTCCAAGCTGAAGAAGGAGCTGTCCCACGTGGGTTTCGTGAGCATGACGGTTGATCAGGCGGCGCAGTTTCAGGGTCACGGGCACGGGAAGCAGTTGTGCAGCCCGAGATGTGATCATATGCAAGAATTCCGAAGGGGTTGAGGAGAGAGCCTCCATCTATGTGATAGACAGAGATCTTGGCAACGTGGCCTATTCATCTTGGATCAAGAGCGTGCTTGATCAAGGGACGATGTATGAACTCCTGGGACAGACTACGAATGAGGAGTCTTTG